ATAACAATATACGAATATTTAATATATATTACATATGAATACTTTAATATGTCAAAATACATATTAAATATATTAAAGGTGATTCAATTACACATGATAAATGGGCACAGTTGATTGCGTGCATATTATACCTCAATAAAGTTTATTTAAAAAGCTGGTGCAATGAATAATTATAGATTTGGTACCTAAATGGCACAGTATATTTTTCTAAATTAAAATTTTTTTCAATAATGTTGGCATTTTGCAAATTGAGTATAGCACTTAACTATAAATGACAGTCTTTTAATGTATGCACACATCTCTTAGACTTTACATCAGAATGTTGCAAATAGGTGACAAGTTGCCTAGATATTTAGCCTTGGTCCTTGGATAGCCAAGGTCACTTCTGGGTAAAGCAGCCTCATTCTTTTGCCCCAGTGTGCCATATAAGTAGAATTTTCTGTGTGCCAGGAAGTGGGGGAAAAAAAGGTTAGAAATCTATGATATTGCTGGGACACAGCATGGGTACATGTGATAGATTTCAAAAATGGTTCCAATTCTTCATCTTCCCCACATCCATGTATTTTGCTGTGTAATTTTGCAGGGTACTCCACTCTGACTCTGGGATAAGCTATGTGATTTGCTTTGACCAATATGGTATCAGAAAATGTGACATAAGCAGAAGCTTGAAAAATGCTTGTGCAATTGATCTTGCCCTCTTGCCTTCTGACACTTAGCCATAATACATACCTGGGCTAGTCTGCTGGAGGAAAAGACAGGTGGAACAGAATCTCAGGATGGATGTGGCTGGCAATGGATCCAACACAAGTGACCTCTCTTGGAACATGGCTTGCCTGCTTTTAAACCCAAGATGGTTGTTCAAAGTCAAGTCAAGGGGTTGGCTCCTTTATTTCCTTCTCATGCAGAAACTTAGGAACTGAAGCAATATTCAATCCTAATTTCTTATTTCCTTTGAGGCACCAAGGGGTACTTCCCTCTTATTTTTTAATACATACATTAAACAACAGAAAAACATGTTTTCATGAACAAAGACTTCTCATAGGTGTATCTATCCTTTTTGGAAAACAGCACATAAATCTTGTTGTAAATTTCCAGTGTGTTACAATTTAACTCTATCTTTCTCTTATGAGAAAAGGAAAAAAATATTACTTACACTATGAGTGTCAGGGAGTTTTCAGGCTCATAAAGAAGGACTTAACCTAAAGTTTCTTATAAAGACTAACATATAGTATTCTAATGTAAAAATATTAAAATTTCGTTATTCCCCTAAGGGATATTTAGATTCCTCTAAATTTTTATTATAAATATTGCCACAATGTATATTCTTATATTTATCACCCTGGGCACATGTTGAGTGCTTTTCTAGTATTGTTAAGATTATACAGCATGCACTATTTATTATTTGAATATATACTGCCAAGTGTCCTTCAGTCCTATTGACACTCCCACCAGGAGTGTAGGGAGAGTTCCCATTTTCCCATACCCTGGCCAATATTTAATATTATAAAACTTTTAAATTTTTACCAATTTCCCTGATTACCATAGGGACTAAGAATCTTTTAAAAAGTTTATTGGCCATCTTTATTTTTCTTTTTCAATGAATTGACTGTTTAGATCTTTTGCTTGCTTTTCTATTGTATAATTTGCTTTTTATTATTAAATAATACTTCTTTTTATATCTAGATTTTAACCATCATCTATTATACCCTGGCAAATACCTTATCTCAGTATGTTGTTTTTCTTTTACCACTGTTAACAGAGCCAGGTCATAAAGAAATTTTACATTTTGTAATGATCAAATCCATTCATCTTTTCCCTTATACTTTTGCTTTCTGGGTCTTAAGAAGCCTTCTCAACCTTGAGATTATAAACATTTTCTTCTAATAAGTAAATAAAAATTAAACACGGGGGCCAGCCCAGTGGTGTAGTGGTTAAGTTCACGCGCTCCACTTTGGCGGCCAGGGGTTCGCGGGTTCGGATCCCAGGCACAGGCCTACATACTGCTTATCAAACTATGCTGTGGCAGGTGTCCCACATATAAAGTAGAGGAAGATGGGCACAGATGTGAGCTCAGGGCCATTCTTCCTCAGCAAAAAGAGGAGGATTGGCAATAGATGTTAACTGAGGACTAGCCTTCCTCACCAAAAAAAAAAATTAAATGTGTATTTGTTTACTGATGCAATGATACCACCTCCTTTAATTACTGTTTCATAATATATCTTGTTATCTGGTTGGTTACCTTTTACCCTGGCTGTTTTTGCCCATTATTCTTTCATACTAATTTTAGAAGGGCTTGCTTCTCATTCATTTATTACTCCAACATCCCAGCATTAGGCCTAATTTTTACTAGCTCAACTATTACTTGTTGAGTAAGACACCCTTAGTACTAAAAGTAATTAAAATATTCTTCCAGTGATCAGTAATGACTAGTACAATACTAGTTTTATTTCTTATTATATTTGCCATATATAAACTTACCATTTGTTCTTATCCCTATAGATAATCACAAATAAAATGCTAGAAATGCCTGTGCAATGGTGATTTAACCTGTATAGTAATTTCCCTTCTATGCAGAAATGTGATAGTTGTACATTATTTCAAAACATTATTTATTTATTTATTTATTTTTTTTTTTTTTTGTGAAGATCAGCCCTGAGCTAACATCCATGCTAATCCTCCTCTTTTTGCCGAGGAAGATCGGCTCTGAGCTAACATCTATTGCCAATCCTCCTCCTTTTTTTTTTTCCCCAAAGCCCCAGTAGATAGCTGTATGTCATAGTTGCACATCCTTCTAGTTGCTGTATGTGGGACGTGGCCTCAGCATGGCCGGAGAAGCAGTGTGTCGGTGTGCGCCCAGGATCTGAACCCGGGCCGCCAGTAGCAGAGCACGTGCACTTAACCGCTAAGCCATGGGGCTGGCCCCTCAAAACATTATTTAACATGGTTAACCATTCTTAATTTCTTTAACTCTCTTATCCTCTTTCTGTCCCTTCCCATTGGCAACTCTTCTGTCTGCCTCTTGTATGAGTTCCACACTTGGTCAAACTCCTTTCTAACAATAGAGCAACCACGCCACCTACACTCTTCCCACTTTTTTTTCCCCCAAAGAGAAATTTTACCTGGCAGTCACTAGAATGTAGACTCTTTGTCTCTTTATCCTTAGCAATGCATTATCCTTAACACTAAAAACATCATGTTATGCTATGTAGTTGATGCTTACTAAACATTGTTTAAATTATGAATATTGTTAAATGAGTCAATATGAAAAGCACATAAAGTACTACTTATTACTATATTTTATAAATTTTCATTTATAATTTAAGATAAAAATCAACAAAAATACAAGGTACTACATTCATAGCACTTGTAATACATATCTCATTTAAATGTGTTTACTATTTTTAAAAGTTTAGAATATTGTTTAAGCTGAGTTAAGTGATTGTGGAATCCTTGAAACGTTTCAAGAAAACATAGCTTGGAATCACCGCTCTAGACCTATTACTCTGTTAACATAGGTCAATATGCGACAATATTTAGGACTAACTATCCTGATAGTTTTCAATTCAACATTAATCATATTAAAAATCACATGTACAAGGAAAGAAAATTGATTACTATCTTGAAATTTGCATATATACATAGCCATATGGTTAATTAAGCACCACATTAATCTGCATGTTTCTTATATTCCCTAGGAGGGTATTTATGATCCTTGGGGGAAATTTTAAAGAAAATTTAAATCTACTGTCACACCAGGGTTTTAATAGTTTACTATCTAAATAGTCTTTTGTTTAAGTTTTACGACTCTAAAAAGTTCTGGAAATATCACTGTTTTATGACATTTTTTTCTATGTTCATGACCTCACAATGCTTGATATCTAGTCTACCTCTTTCCTAATACTAATGGAGTACGATTAGGACTCCAACTATCACTAGCAGTTCTCAGAACTTTCCCCAGCTTTTTATCTAGCATCTCAATACTTCTCTCTAGGAAACTGCATTCTGACACAGTGTTTGGAGCATGCATGTAATTCCCATCTTTTTCCTCCTTTTCTGTCTCTCAAACTTGTTTCTTCTTCTTTCAGTCAAACACTTGCCTACATAGGCAAGAAAGACGTTAGGACAGATATTTTTTATCTTATATCTCTTTTCTCCTCTTAAGTCTCTTATATTAAGGTCTCAACTCCACTATTAAAATATGAAAACCAACTTGAGGTTCATATAAGAAGAATACCTAAAAATGGTACAAAAAGTAAACAATTTTCCAGGTAAATGCAAACCAAAAAAATCCAAAGAAATAATATGAGAAACTAAAATTCTGGCAAAAAATATTTAATATATAAACAGGATTATTTTTTTTTAACTGTAGAAATATAAGGAGAATTATGTGGTAGACTGTTAGATTAATGGCCCCCAATGCCATTAACTCCTGCTATGTGCATCCACGTGCAGTCCCCTCTCACATTGACTCTAGACTTGGCCATGTGACTTGCTTTGTTCAAAGGAAGAAGAGCAAATATGACAGGTACAGGCTTGAAAAGCTCTTGTATATTAGCTTGGAATGTTTTCTCTTATGTGTTCTCCTGGGAATAAGCCCAGTCTAGTCTACTGGAGGATGAGAGGCTATATAGAACAGACAAAGCCAAGTCATTGAATCATGAAAAATTATAAAATATCCTAGTTTTAACCACTGAGTTTTGAGGTGGTTTGTTGTGCAGCAATGGATAAGAAGTACACTTTGTGGAACCCTATCATCTCTCTTTGTCCTTGTCTGTGGAAGAGGAAATGGAAAAATATTAAATAAAGCTATACTTAATTTGAAAAAACACTTAGGGTCTCTCAGTAAACTTTAACAATTTTGGACCTGCTGCACTCCTGTTGTATTTCCCCCTTAGCTATTCAGTCCATTTAAATAAGTATTTACAAGAATCAACATTTTAACTGTTACCCTATACATTCTATAGGTGTAGAATGAAGAAACTGTATCAATGAACAAACAGTACATGATAAATATTTTTATTTTTAAACACTGAATTGTACATCTTTCATATAAAAGATGAGGTTCTAGCCTCTGTTTTAAAAAATAATTATACTTGCTAATACTATCTTTACATTTTTTACAGAAGCCAATTTCTCTAAATTTGCAGATTTTATAGAATCATCATCTCTTGAATATATTTCCAATATCCTTTAAAAAATAGAAAATTCATACAAGATAATTTTATTTAACACATTAAAACTTAACAGGTTACAGTATAACTGTCCAGCCTTCCACCTACGCCTGAATACTTTTCCAGTACAGAGAAGCCAACATTATTGGAGTAATTAATTTTCTGTATTTACCTTTATTAAAAAGAGGTTTTTGGTAGTGAGAACAAATAGTCTCTCATTTGTTGCTTGAAAGCCTAAAATAGGATCATTGGTTTCTAGGCTTGCTACTTGCTGCTTAGCAACCTGCCCTACTTGCCTGCCTTCCTTTCTATTGTAAAGCACAGTGGACATGGGAGTGGGCTGACGATAGATGAACACTCGACGGAGGCACTCGCAAAGGGCTGCATAGGAGTAATTTGGAGCACAGGCAAAAAATTTTTTGTCTCTCTTTGATGCTTGAACGTAGCCTGTCAAGAAATATGAAACAAACAAAAGAAAAACTATATATTAAACAAAAGGGAAGAAATTGTGATTTAACATTTAATATCTCATAATTATTTATTATAAAATAAAATGCCTGAATAAAATATATACCATAAATACTCAACAATGGTTAAATTTGGAACCATTAATGATTAGCCACAATCAATCTTTCCCAACTGGTGCAAAAATATGGGTTTAATTCCTAAGGAACAAAACAGATGAGATTTAATCTCTTCAAGAAAAGCACAACATAGTTCCACATAATTTCCATGCATAATTAAAATACTAAAAATCTAAAACACTAAAAACATGCCAAAATATCTTTCAACGCCAATTTAATAATTAGGTTCATCAATCACAGATGTGGCATTGCAAAATCTTTTTCTTTTCTTATCAAATAAATGGGAAAATGTTTATAGGATACATTGTGAAATTTCAGGAGTATGTTCATAATGCAGGCCCTATCCCTGAAGGTACAGTCTCATTATTTCTATGATGTTAGTGCTATTTTTCTACACCAATACCAACATTGTACAACAATTTTGTTGTACTTCAGCTCCCAAATGTAGAACCCTGAAACTACTACAAGCTTGAAAGAAAACTCAAGTATCTAATTTTAAAAACCTCATTAGGACATCCTTTGAAAACTAATTAAATTTTGGGAAAAAAATCTTATCTTTTTAAGAATTATCTTTGCAGATTAAAAGGGCACTTATGTTCTGAAATATAAAGTAGGATTTCTAGATTGGGACATGGTTAGTGAATGTTAATAACATGTGAGATAAAAAATATAACACTAATGTAAATTGAGACCTCATTAAACAACGAATGAGCAAAGGAACCACTGAACACAGACAGATCAATACTGGTTTTTTTGTTTTGTTTTGTTTTTTGTGAGGAGATCAGCCCTGTGCTAACATCTGCCAATCCTCCTCTTTTTTTGCTGAGGAAGACTGGCCCTGGGCTAACATCTGTGCCCATCTTCCACCACTTTATATGGGACGCTGCCACAGCATGGCTTGCCAAGTAGTGCATCGGTGCACAGCCGGGATCCAAACCGGTGAACCCTGGGCCGCCGCAGCGGAGTGTGCACGCTTAACCGCTTGTGCCACCGAGCCGGCCCCCAATACTGGTTTTTTAATATTAAGCAGAGTTTGAGGAAGAAAAAGTGAAGAGGATATAGATACGTATTTGAGTAGCTTAGAATTAGCTCTCTAGATTAACCTTGACAAAACTGATAATGTATATAACATCTCAAGACTACATATCTAAGGTAATGCTGATTTAACTTAAACTCAAGCATTTAAAAGAATTCTTCTATACTAGGGGATTTCTGGATATAAATGGAGAATCTGAGCATATGAAAATGATGATAGAGCTTTCTTCTTACTGAAAAAAGAGAATAGAGAATAAAAAAAATAGAAATTGTAGTAAAGAGACTAGAAATTATGTGGTCAAATTATTCAAGCAAACTATTTCGAGTCATAAAAATCCATTTGGAGTGTGAATTAACCAGTTTAACGGCCTATATGATTAACTATAAGGGATAACTGACAAATCTCCTCTACAATTAGGGCTATGCATATATAGCAATCAAAATGCATAATTTTACTTCCTACTGCCAGTTTAAAATAACCTTTCAATAAACCAATAACTGTGGTTAATTCATATAAAAAGTTTCTCCCACATAATACTAAACTACTTTGACATAAAATCAATTATAACATAAGTCTACAATTATGTAGTTTAAAATTTTTCAAGCCTTATTTATTTATTTTTTTTGTGAGGAAGATCAGCCCTGTGCTAACATCTGCCAATCCTCCTCTTTTTTTGCTGAGGAAGACTGGCCCTGGACTAACATCCGTGCCCATCTTCCTCCACTTTATATGGGACACCGCCACAGCACGGCTTGCCAAGCAGTGTATCGGTGCGCACCCGGGATCCAAAGCAGTGAACCCCGGGCAGCCGCAGCAGAGTGTGGGCACTTAACCGCTTGCACCACCGGGCCGGCCCCTCAAGCCTTGTTTTTAAAATTGGTATTTTCCCCTTTATCCTACAAAATAAATTTCATTTTGCTTATCACCATTTTCTCTAAGTGTTTTCATTATAACAGCTCTCTTTCACACTTAAGTTTCATGAACGATGTCTCCTAACGTGCATTACCTTAGAGCAATTCTATAATGTTTTTGAAGATTACTCTGAAGAAACCTGAATACAAGTTCCATGTCAAGCCCCTTGTTCATATTCTAATACCATATAGCTTAACTGAAATAAGCAAATGACTGATTAGAATGATTCAAGGGGTTAGATAACCTCTTTGATTTCCATTCTGTGTTGATCTTCTGTACAAGCATAAAAACAGAGCAGTCCTACTGTTCTAAAAGTACTAACTTACATTCATCAACTATATTACAAGCAACCAAATTATAGCACAAATCAATCCAAATATAATTAGCACAGCTCAAATTTTAAAAAAAGAAAAAAGAAAAGAATTTTAAAAAAATGATGACTAATTTTTGACATAATGAAAGATGCTGTCAAAGAGCCTGCTTTATACCTAAAGCATTGAAAGTCGCAATGTGCTCCCACATATCGTCTCGTTTGCTGGAATGTGGCTGCCAGAGTAGGGCATCAACATCATGGCGCAAACAGAAGCAAGGCATTTCCTTAGGATCCACTATGACAGAGAAAAGGTACTCATTGCTCCCAAGATTCACCTAAAATAAAAAGTGACAAAAAATAATTTACTCAACAACAAATTATTAATAATGATGATGACAACAACTGACACACAGCACTGTATGTCAGCAACTGTTCTAAACTTTTTAACATACCTAAAACTCTTCATAATCCCCTAGGAGAAATGTGCCACTGTTACGTCCATTTTAAAGATGAGGAAAGTGATGCACAGGGCATTTAAGTAACCTGCCCAAGGTCAGCCTGATAATGAGTCGTGGAGCTGAGATTTGAACCTAGAGTCTATATTCTTAACCACTATGCAATACTATCTCCCAACTGTTAGTAACTAGTTTAAAACATGACATAAAGCACCATCTTTTATAAGCAGAATATTTTTTAAACCAAAGAATAAAAATATGAAGTTTACAAATGCTAACTTGTAATAATGTTAGCAAGAACAATGACAGCTACTAGGATTTATGAGCACATTCTCCATGCCAGGCATGTTATAAATATTAATCTTGACAACCCACAAGGCTGTTATTATCTTCATTTAATAGATGAAATAACATACTTGGAGGACTTGAGTAACTTGTTCTAGGCTACAGAGAAAAATCAAAATGCTGGGATTCAAACTCAGATCTGTTTACCAATTACTTACTTTGGTGTACTGTTTAATTATGGTATCAATGTCAAGAATGTTTATTACGTTAATAATTTTTATTGCAATATTGATGGCTAAAGGAATTCATTTTAATACAAAATCATGAAGTAGAGACTCATAATTGGATTCCATCTACAGGAATACTTCTTTTAATGCAAACAGGTTACAAAGATATTCTTCTTTATTAGAAATATTATTATCTGAGTTAAAAATGCCTAAATACCAACAAAAATCACATCAAATGTAGAAAACATAAAATATACCTAGTACTTGATAAATATTGAATTGCTTCCACGAGTTTTAGAGCAGACTGAAGAATAAAATGTTGAGTTAAAATCAGAAGTGGAGACCTGCCCTGTATTCAATAGGGAAAGCTGTGAAGTGGCTCTCCAGCAAGAGGACTTATTGCTACAGCTGTGCCAGCACAGGCTATGAGTCACAGGAGAATCCAGCGACAGAGCAACCCAATTTCTGTTGCCCTAGTAATGTCCATGGATAGGCATTTTGGGTGGGGCTAGTGCTTGTTCACTACAGAAAGGGAACAAGCTGGCACACAGTGTTCAAAGACTATTTCCTCTTTCCCTTTGCTCCTGATAATCACTGAAGATTTATTTTCAAAATCACCACCAATTAACCGCATCCCCCTCTGACAGTCTCAATTGTTTACCAAGCGCTTTCACAGAAGGAAAAAATTATTGAAATACAAATACAGGTTGAAATAATATTTTCATAAAAATGCATTTACTTTAATGAGTCAAGCACCTTAAGAATGTATTGAATATTACAATGAAACGACTGATCTCTGATCCTCTCATACTTAATGCACAACAGTGAGAGAAGAACAGAGGGCCCTGAACCAACAAGTGAAAGGCTAACCACTAAGAGAGATCAGCCATGAAAATAAGACGATGGGGATGCAGATCTCTTGTTATGGGTCCCTTACTCCGACTTGGATGTTCCTTCTCTTCTGCTTCTACTTACCTTATACATACCTCCACTACAGTCAAATGGAGTCAAAGTACTATTAATTACAAAAACGGCAATCTCACATGGTTTGCTTTTGCCATACCTCTGACTCAGCATTCTGCCTGGACTCTTCTTGTCCTTTCTTGCCTGATGGATTCCTACTTATCGTCCAAGATTCACTTCAAACATCAGTTGCTGCAGAAGCTTCCCTTATTCTCGTGGTTACATGAGCTGTTTGAACTCTTGAGAACCTCCAGCATCATGTATATTATTCCCAACAAATTATTTATCTTACTACGTTAGATTATTAATATGCATGTACATCACCTGTGTCCCCCCAGGATGTCCACATCTCCATTCCTTGGAACCTGTGAATATGTTACTTTAACATGGCAAAGGGAACTCTGTAGATGTGATTAAGTTAAGCATCTTGAGCTGGACAGATAATCCTGGATTATTTGGGTGGGCCCAACGCATTAACAAGAGTTCTTATAAGAGGGAAACAGTAAGGTCAAAGACACAGAAGGTGATATGACAGCAAAAGCAGAAGGATAGAAGACACAGACTGGAAGACACTATTGGCTTTGAAGTTGGAGGCTGAGGCTACCAGCCAAGGAATGCAGGCAACCTCTAGAAGTTGGAAAAGGCAAGAAAATGGATTCTCCTCTTAAAGCCTCCAGACGGAATGCACTCCCACACACCCATTTTAGAAGTTCTGACCTCCAGAACTTCTGAAGAATAAATTTGTGTTGTTTAAGTTACTAAGTTTGTGGTAATTTGTTACAGCAGCAGTAGGAAACAAATACCTACTATCACCTATCTCACAAGACTATCTTAGGAACCAGAAGTTTGTCTTCTTGTCTCCATATTCTAGATAACTATTTTTTGAATGGATATTTTATGTAAGAAATCATTTTAAAAATATTTCCAACAAAGCCAATTATCCTTAGAGTTGGGAATACTTTACTCTAATTTACAGTTAGAATAACTGGCTGAGGATTTTGTAAAGCAAAAAACCTTATGATTAAATTCTTAAAGAAATACCCACTGGAAAGTGATAGGGTCAGCAGCTTCCTCACTTAACCAAGTACACAGTACTCTGTGCCTTTTAGTTCTTGCCTCAGGAAATCTTACTTTCTCAATAATATTTCCCCGTGGTTTTCCAATGTTTAAAAAGGAATGTCCAAACTGACCTGAATGGCATTTTTGAAAGTTTCTCAAAACCTGACTCCAACATGCCTTTCCAATATTGGTTCCTATTACTCTCCTCAAAACCTAACATTTAGCAAAACTGGATCACAATTTACAAAACTGCCTCCCCTACTTTCCACTCTTTTGTCTGCCATGCTTCTTCTGCTTGCTGCATATCCCGCCCATCATATACTTCATGACATACTCAAATGGTACCTTCTCCTCCTAGCAGTTTTCGCGAACATTAATAAAAAGAAATAACGTATCATCATAATTTGTTTATACCTCTCCTATAGAACTTATCTCCTCATTTCCTTTATATGCTCTTTGAGGGTGAGGACTATGACTTTGGGTAGGATACTTAGCCCTTATTTTATTTTCCTGTAAATATAATGATAATAACAGTACTTATTTCACCATTGTTATGATGAGTAAACAATGTATTTCAAGCACTTACACAGTGCTTGGTACTCAAACCTTAATAAATGCAACTGTCCATTATTACCATTCTAGGCATATTCTACACATTTTGCTTTGAATATTACTGGCATTTCAAATTCAACAAATGAGATGAGCAACATTAATGAGGAAAAGAGAGCAACTCTGGAGTGATCTTCACGTAGCTCACACAGGACCTACATAATTTTATGCCTAGGAAACGTGTAAATAGCTATAAAAAAGAATAATATACCAATATACCCTTACTCTGTCCTAATCTCAGCATATTTAATTTAGAGACAAATTTCTAAACTCTTGCATCATTTCAAAAATGAGAAATGCAAAATTCATTATCCTGCTTATCATTTTATTGTCAAATAAATTCTATTTTATCTTTAGTTTCAATTTTATGCCCATCGCTTTCAATTTGATACTTTCCTATGACACATACGTTTCAATAAACAGTTTGTGGATCTGCTCTAAAAAAAGTGAACAACTTATTCTTCAAATAAGATTTGGATGCTTTAAATATACCCAAACCAAGTTTCTGGAAGTTTTAAAAACAAATTGTAACTAACTAGGTCTGATGGTACTAACTGCAAATAATAATTTACTGTGAGAACATTCCCTTTAAATGAGATAAAGAATTCAGAATTTTTTTTTTTATAATTTTATTTATTTATTTTTCCCCCCAAAGCCCCAGTAGATAGTTGTATGTCATAGCTGCACATCCTTCTAGTTGCTGTATGTGGGACGCGGCCTCAGCATGGCCGGAGAAGCGGTGCGTCAGTGCACGCCCAGGATCCGAACCCGGGCCGCCAGCAGCGGAGCGCGTGCACTTAACCGCTAAGCCACGGGGCCAGCCCAAGAATTCTTTTCTTCTTTATGTAGTAAGAGACTGTGTGACATTCATTCTACTTAATAAATTCTAGCATTCCTAGCCTTCATTTTAAAATCAAGTATTCCATACAGCTAAATAAAAAAGATTATGCCACTGCAAGATGTTTGATACTTCTTAGGTTGGTTAGCAGCTACGACAGGAAAATAAGCTCATAATTCCATTCAAAGGTTGCAAGCTAAAAGTGGATAAAGGAATTGCATATAAACACTGCTTTTATGATAACACCTAAAAAATGTTTGGGTTCATTTTTCTCACGGTAGTCTTTGAATCTCCTGATGATTATTTATGCCTTTTACTACTTTTTCTTGCCTCCCTGCACCAGCTAGGATTTCCAGCATGATGCTAACCAGGAGTAATGAGGGCAAACACACTTTGCCTCTTACCAATCTTAGGGGGAAGCATTCGATCTTTTACCGTGAAGTATAATGTTAACTCCAGGCTTTTTGAGGAGGGGGTTATCTTCAATTCCTAGTTTCCTGAGCATTTTTATTATAAATGGATGCTAAATTTTGTCAAATTCTTTCTCTGCATCTAGTAGGATGGTCAAATATTTTCCTTCTTTAGCCTGTTGATATGCTGAACTATACTGATTGATATTTGAATGTTGAAACAGCTTTGAATTTCCAGGATAAACTCTACTTGGTCATGATGTATTATCCCTTTTACTTATTGCTGGATTTGATTTACTAATATTTTACTGAGGATTTTTGTGTCTATCTTCATGAGGGATATTGGTTTCTTTCCTTTTCTCTTTTTTCCTGTTTTCTTGTCACGTCTTTGCTATCAGGGTAATGCTGGCCTCATAAAATAAGCTGGGAAGTGTTTCTTCCCCTTTTATTTTCTGAAACAGTTTGTACAGAATTGGTATTACTTCTTTA